CAGTTGATAATGCGACTGCACACGGACAAGCTAGATGCTGGGCAACGTGAGGCCGTGCAGATAAGAAATCATGCTATTCACGACTCGCTGCCAGATGGAGATCTGTGTGCTTTTCGCTCCACTAATCCTCGGGTCGAGAGGAGAAAGTGGGATTGCAAAAGTGTTCTCGCAGTATGTCGAGTCAGTCGGATCGGATGACTGAGGGAAATATGCTGAAAAAAGGTATTTTCCTCGGTGAAACTCGCAAATCGCAAGAGAAGCGCGGCGTGGAGAATAAGCTTAGCCGTCTTCGTTCGCTCAAAATTTCGTTGATCTTCATTGCGCTCTATCAATAGCTGACGCTTATATTTGCTGTGTTCGATAGGCTGAAATGAACGGTATCCGTTCGTTCTTGTTTTAATCTCGATTTCTGTTTTGGGGAGCATCTCCTGACCCTATTCCATTTCTCCATCGACAAATTTCGAATATTAACGTTTATCATACTATCTACGAAGTCGACAAGCAATAACAGGGAACCAATTGATGGACCTAGTTTGACGAACTTGTAATTTGATAAGCGCAGATATCGATGATCGAACTTTGGTGTTTCGTGGCCCTGCTGGGCCAACTGTTGGCCCCAGCGACCGCCCAGATGCCTGGAGGCTACACCAAGACGACGCTGGAGCCGGAGAAGCTGGCGAGCCTCATCGGCTTGATCGAACCGGCGGTGAACCAACAGCTCAAGCAAGAATCAAACCAGTTCAATGTCGTCGATGTCCTTCGGGCGTGGTCGCAGGTCGTGGCCGGGGTCAACTACGAGCTCAAGGTTCGGATGAGGGAGACGACCTGCTCGAAGAGCTCGGTCGGGTCGGTCGGGGTCTGCAAGGTGAAGTCGGGTGGAAAGAGGAGGATCTGCGTCGTCGTCGTCTACGAACGGCCGTGGGAGAATTTCAGCCAAGTCACTAGCGTTGAGTGCCCCTGAAGCAGTCGAGGAACTCCTCGCCAAACTCAAAATAAAGACTTGATTCTCTCAGACCAGAGTTTTTTAATGTCACCTCACATTGAGGCCTGTTCTGGGTCGAATTCACACGTTTCTTGGACTTTTCTCTCGCCTCATCTCCCCAGGCGAAACAAGTACTTATTGGGCTATATCGCCCAATAAGGAATGGATTTCATCCCCGCTTCTCACTCCGTTTGTCCCAAGGAAAGGATTCATACGGGAAATGAAAGCGTCAAGAGAGGTAGTAGAGCGTCGGCGGTATATTACGTGTGAAAAATGTCAAATGCACGTTAGACACAGGTGAGAAGGAAGAGACTGTAAAACTGGGGTTAATCACATGTAAAAGTGCGTTTCTTACCTGAAGTAGAAAAAATTTTTGTGTCCTAACATTCACAGACGTTCAGTTTTCCTTTTTTTTTAAGTTAGAAAATGATGATTTAAGGCAAGGGCGCATTCCTTACCCTGCAGATGCCTGCGGGCCACACCCATCCTTTTTTCTCCGAAATTTGTGCTGACAGTGAATCCAAGCGGAAATTTGAAGAACAGACGGCGGGCCGTATGTTTGACACCCCTCATTTAAGGGAAGGTAGGCATCGTATCGCCTTCGCCGACGTCGCCAGTGCTTTAGATAGGTCGCAGCGTATAAATTGCAAATTTGCTTGGCCGTTTGATGCAGAATATCAAACGTTTCAGGAGGATAAAGCCAGGTTCACACCAACCGCATAGCATAGCATACGGCGACACAGCATACCACAAGTGCCCTCGTGCGGTCACCTGGGCTCTGGGGTCTGTGCGAAGAGTTGAGCTGGATTCAACGCGACGCACAAGGAACCCATGCTCAGCCAATCAGAGCAGAGAGGAACCCATGCTCAGCCAATCAGAGCAGAGAGGAACCCATGCTCAGCCTATCAGAGCAGAGATGTGTCGTCAAACTCATCGTGGCGGTTTGCATGGAGGAACTCATAATTGAAGTCCATTGGCCAGTGGTCTATGAACCGACCTAGACAAGAACCACTGGCACGTAAAAATGTCCCCTCGATGCAGGACCGTTATGAATGGTAGTACTATCGCGTATATCATATACCTTAGGTATACGTATATCATATTTAATCTAACTTAGTCTGGAATGAGAACTTGTTGGGGAGTGAGGATTTCTCGAGCCTTCGTCTCTGACGATCTTTTCTCCGCCTCCGAATGCGACATGCCACGGTTGAAAGGATCGATGTCATAAGCAGGGCATCAACATCCATAATGGGGAATGGCAAGGTTTTATTAAGCAGGGTCTACTCGGACTTCACCCAGACCGCTGCCTAGAGGCCTATGTGATGCGCCATATTGATGACATGAACCGCATTGCGCGACGCCAGTGCGAACAAGAATCCGTGGGTGCTGTGCTATTTTATGTCATGTTATGCTGCGCGTGTTGGTGTGAACCTAGCTTTAACTAGAAAGATATGAAGAGCTGCCTCGCCATCTGGCAGCGATGAAGAGCTGCCTCGCTATCTGGCAGCGATTCGAGCAATCGAGGCCTCCAGAATAGAAGTGAAGAGTGCCTGCGTCGCCTCTGTGGCGATTCGACTTCGTTGAGTGTTGAGCACATTAACTCCTGACCTCGAGAAGGAGTTGCGCCAAGATTGGGCATTTTTTAATTCGTCGAAATGCACGTGATGGCACGAAACACCGCGTCTCTAAACGAATTACTCTACCAGGAAAACTTATGAAAATGAAGCGCGGATATTTTGATGATGCATTCCTTCGAATTCGAGTATTGTTTTCCAACCTGACGAGGCTCTATCCGACCTACCTTCTTTCTTCTCTCATCGTAAAGTTTCCTTCGATTATTCTTTTTTGGAAATAAACGTTTCACCATTTTCACTGACGTCGTCAGTGCCATTAGACGGATCTCTATTAATAAAACATAAACGTACATTGCCTCGACGCAGTCAATGCACAAAATCAAGAGTTTCAGGCGGGAAGTTCGAAATATGAGAGCAGGCTAATCATCTGACAAGAACTCTAAAGATCAAGGTTTTCACAACTACAGTGGCGACGAATCCCCTTCGTGACGAGTCGCCTTATCGCTCGGCGAGTTCCCATATAGGTGAGTGGATGCCAGGAGCTGCGTTCTGTGTTGCGCCGCGCTTTCGAGGGAGTGGAGGCAAGGGATCCTCATCGGGTTAGATGTTTTGAGTCACGCCGAATCCACGACTTTCCACCGAATTTGGACTCGCCTTGGGGTGTGTGTGTGTGTGTGTGACTTCGAGTCTTCCCGTTGTTTCGCGTCAGTGTTAAACCGGATTTAAAAAAATATGAAAAAACACTTATGCAATCTGAATCCCAATTCGGTGTTGGTTGTGAGGGAGCTCCCTACACTGGGGGATGTTGCACTATTTCCTTCGAAAGCGTCGGTAAACGACGGCATGAGGTAGGAACAATAATTTCATCATGGGAGATTTTCAAGTAAGCATCAGGAAAACGGCTGATAACGCGAATATACAGACAAGCTAGATAATGGACAGCATGATACCGAGCAGATATGCAATCATGCTACAATGTTTCCAGATTGAATTCGTACCCACCATAGGAGCGCTTCCATCGCTTGCATGTTGCGACATAGTTCACGTGGTTGGTTTTATCTTTCACCAGCTGAGACCGAATTTCTGTAAATGTGCGTTTTCCTCATTCTCCACTATAGGTGGGTGGTGCGAATTCAATCCGGAAACAGTGTATTAACGACTCGCTGCCAGGTGGAGATCTGCTCGCATTTCGCTCCTCGAACCATCGGGTCGAGAGCAGAGGGCGGTATTGCGACAGTGGCAACGTCATTTCAACCAATTCTTGGCCGAGGTCTTTCGGTTACAGTGGTGCATCTTGTTGTTCATCAAGTTATATCGAGGTAGTCGGATCGGCTGACTCAGGCAAATTTGCGAGAAATAGTTATTTTCCTCGGACATTCTCCCAGATCGTGAAGTGAAGCGCTAGTAGAACACTGCGTGGAGGATGAGCTCAGATTCTCCTTCGGGAAGTCCTGAAAGCACGTTAGAGAACACCTACTAGAGTTTTTTGTTTTAATGTTGACGTGTTTTCGAATTTAGATATGTGCTCTGGCAGGCGTCCATGTGTGAAAGAAGATGCTCTTTGAATGTGCTCTCATCTGGAGGACAGGTTTAGAAACACTTGGAGTTGGAAGGTTTGGACACACATGAGGGCAAATGGGAACGCTTCGTTCAGATTAGGAGATCCATTGCGTTCCCTGGAAATTTCCTCAAAGGATCAGTGGTTCCAAAATTTTTCATGAAAGCATTCAATGATAAAGCATTCAATATATTTCAGGAATATGAAACAATTTCGAAGGATATTCGCGTTTTCCAGTCTCGACAGCATGAGAGCATGTACGATAGAGTTTACTGGGGCCCATGGCAACCCTGGCAGGAGGTCCATCATGGCGCCCTACTGACCTAGACAGCGCCTTTCCTTTGTGTTTTAACCTTCAGGTGTGTGGTTTATCTGTTTTAATTCACGAAATCCGTCGAAGTTGCTCTTAAGCTGCTAATTATGTCCACCTTTAACAAATTGTGACTGGACAGCGTGGTCTCTGTAAGCCTATTGTGGAGTACATTGGCTTTTTTGACAAGTGGAACACCCGGCCTCGTTGGCCTAGACTACATAATACAGAAGCCAATTAGCCCCACTTATAGAAGTCTATGCCACTTCTGAATCAAGCACAAATGACGTTTCCAACACACCTTACAATATGGTTTTCATACCAATTGAGAATTATCTAAAAGCCTGTAGTTTTTCCATGTTGTATGATGCATGGATTAAAAGTCCTTTTATAGAAGGATGAGGAGGACAAAACACACAATAACTTGTTCATCAATGATGATAAAAAATAATGTTTGGTGACGCTGTTATGAATGCTGTCCCTTGTGTTAAGAGTGAACTGTTTAGGTGTCCAACTTAATTGTCTTTTAGATTCATAATACCCTCCCATCTTCCAGATTAATGTTGTGAAGAAAGTATGATGGTGGGAAAGAGTTCCTCAGGAAGAGTGAATGGATTTCAGTACAAGTAGATGATCATCATTTGGCACATATGCAGGGATTATTTACATCTCTTCCTTTATGATCATGAGCTGGGTTTTCATTAGGATGGAGTGAATGTTATAGTTTCATGAGACTTAAATGCATCAAAGTATTCCATTTAAGAAAATTGCGTGCTCCCCCAATCTTCTTCAATAGTTGCAACCCCCTATTTCTTCTTTCAACAATCTGTTTTCCCTTGGAATACTATATCATTGGGAATCTCATTATCTTGATTACATTGAGCAATTCTTGATTATTTTTGAAGAATTTTTGCAGGAAGAGGAAGGAAAGTAGGTATATTTTCCTTGGCAGCTCCCTAGTTTTTCAGAGTTTAGTATTCCTAACCTCCTCATGATTAAGATAGGGCCTGCAAGGACATATTAATGGAGACATAGCTAAGGTTGGAGGTGCTGTAGACATTCCAATGGTTTTGCGATTCGTTGAAATGCTAACCCTGTGTGATGAGACAATCAAGTTGTTGTTGGGTGTGATATGAGTAGGTCTCATGATGAAAAGTAGAAGTGTAGGTCACTGTTATCAATTATGAAGTTCATATTGCTACCTGTTGTTCTCCTTATGAAGCAGGCTTCAGGTAACCATCAGTTCCTTGCAAAGGAAAAATCAATGCTGTGCATGGAAGTGGCTTATGCCAGCATTATGCAGAGTAAGGCATGGGTGGGAGGCCCTTAAGGCCTTGGCTGTAGGCATTCAATTAATTAGATCATATTCCTTCTTAAAGGAATGTGATTTGCCTGAACTTTAGGTCTCTGCTTGAGCTGACCTGAGGTATGGTTACTATTTTATACTTCATGCTTTGGTCATGCATTTTTATGAGGAAAGAATCAAAGGAAATCTTAACCTCATTTGAGCCCCAATGTTGCCTTTAAAAGCATAAAAAGGTTTCAAATGGAGAGGATCTGCATCCATAGGCCTGATACATTTTTGTTTCAGGAATGGCATGCTGTGTGCCTGTCTATTCTGTGTTACAGTACTTGCCTGACATATCAGGACCTGCCTTAAAAAAAAGATTTTCTGCCAGAATACCCATCCAACCCACCCAAAGGTGACATGCTTTCTTGGAACATTCTCTGTGAGAACATTCTCTTGTGAGTTTATGTGCATGTGCCAGTGTGTCTGGAGATGTTGAGTACATGTTGAAGTGTGTCTTGAAAATGTCTGGGCTTCTCTTGTCATGGGACTATGGATTGTATCCCAATTGGCAAGTTTCCTTCTCTTCATCATGGATTTGACTGGGGGGTGAAACAGTGAAGAGTGTCTGCCTGGTATGAGGGATGAAGAAACACACTAAAGAGTTGCCAAAAGATTGCTGCAAAAATTCAGCTGAACAATGTGCTTGTGTCATTCTCATATCCAATAGTGGCACATGCATGACACTAACTTATCACCATCTGCCATCTTTGCTGGACTAGGCACCNGCACATGCATGACACTAACTTATCACCATCTGCCATCTTTGCTGGACTAGGCACCCTGTGGCTGTTTGTTCTTCCCACTGTCCAATTTCAAATCAAATGGGGAGGATCTCCAATGGAGAACCTCCACTTCGCATGGGACTCATGATTTCATCATTATGGAATCATGAGTCCCATGACAAGTACTGAGCTGAAGGCTCTTCCAAAAAATTGCCTGCAGATAAACATACAATAACTAAACACTCATTCCAATGAGTCCATTGACTCACAGAGGAACAATGTTCATATGGATCATGTCACCTTGGAGTGGAAGACCTGGTCTCGGCATATTCTACCAAATGCTCGATGTGACATCAGTTCTTTCATGGTTCGAGGAGCGCAAGTTGGCATGGAATTTCATGCTTAAATGCAGGGATCCTCAAGCCACAGCCTGCATGAGAGGATTCTATCTGGCTGTCAACATTAAAATATTCCAAAGTAGTTACTAGTGAACTCATAACATCCTGGCTGAGATTAACTTCAAATGAAATTACTTGGTTTCATGACTGCACTAAGAAGAAAGGCTTTGGCATGTCAGCCTCTATGGAAGTTGTAACAGGGTGTGGTTATGGCAATTATGTAATACAGGAGTTCCAGCATGAAAGGGTGTCTGTACATCACATGATAATTGATTTTAGTGCATGGTCACTAAGTCACTAATTGCAGTCCATGAATTTTGAATGAAGTTTTGCCATCCCTGCTGTAAGGAATTTCTTTTTGTGGGGTTATCTATGCCCTACATAGGGTTTTGCCTAAGTATATATTAGATCAGGGGTTCTTAACCTGGGGTCCGTGGGTTAGGTCCAGGGGGTCCATGGAAAATTAAATATATAATTGAAGGTAGATCCCAAAAAACATAATTTATAATTACAAATTCAGGTGTTCCAAAGTTTCTGATAATCGGGAGTGGGGGGTCCCTAGGTGCAAAAAAGGTTAAGAACCCCTGTATTAGATCTTGGTACTTGGATATTAGCAGTGATGAGAAAACCTGTGACAACGTTCAAAGGTGATTAGCAAAAGTTGTTCCTTAGTATTTCCCTATTCTTCTGATATTTGAACTGAATGGGATAATTGGCTTGGCGTTATTGCTGCACCAGAGTATCTCGTAAGAATCACACACGGTGGTCACTCACCAAGCCCCCAGGAAACTCTGGAATAGTAAGGGTATTTCACGAAATGAAACATTTTATTGCATTACCTTACAGCGCATTTCCTTGTTTCTGTTCCCTCTTTGGTGGAACGAGCGCAACGAAGGAGCATCTAAAGTGTTGCGCTCGAAATGCCTCTGAGAACACGTGGAACACCTTCAATAGGGTCTGCCACGAGAAAATTAGGAAACATCTCAGTAAGCATTTGGTGTACCAAATGGAACACGTTAGATGTCAAAAATGGTGTGTTAAACGCGTTCCATTTATTGTTTTTTATGTGTTAAAGTGTGACAAATGTATTTAGTGTACCGATAGTTGATACTGTCATACTGACTGTGTTCTCTGGACTGAAGTGAACGGAATCCGTTCGTTCTAGTTTCATTCTGGAATCCGGTCTTGGGAAGCATCGCCTGACGCTATTCGATTTCCCCATCGACCAATTTCGAATAATAATAAAGTGAGAATTTTCCTGGGTGATATTCCAGTATGCCCTTAGTTCTTCGATGGAGCGAAGGCGAAGTAGGCAACCGGACCGCGTCCTTTCGAGGAAGCTTGCTAGAGTTCCCAGAAATCCATCTTTAACGTTCGTACTATCTGCTAAGTCGACATGCAACGATAAACCTAGTTTGACTCACTTTTCCTTCGCTGCGTGCAGATATCGATGATCGAATTGTTGTGTGTCGTGGTCCTGCTGAGCCAACCGTTAACCCCAGCGGCGACCATGATGGTCGGCGGCTACACCGAGACGACGCTGGAACCGGAGAAGCAGGCGAGCCTCATCGGCCTGATCGAACCGGCGGTGAACAAAGAGCTCGGGGACGAGCCCAACATGTTCATGGTCGTCGAGGTCATCCAGGCGTGGTCGCAGGTCGTGGCCGGGGTCAACTACAAGCTCAAGGTCAAGATGGGGGAGACGGACTGCCCGAAGAGCGCGGCCGGGTCGGTCGGGGACTACAATGTGAAGTCGGGTGGGAGGACGAGGATCTGCGAGGTCGTCGTCTACGAAAGACCGTGGCAGAATTTCAGCCAAGTCACCAGCGTTCAGTGCTCCTGAAGCCGTCATGTAATTCCTTTCCAATCTATACGTAAAGACAAGATTTTATCACCCCGCAGTCGTTAAATGACTCTTCACGTTGGGGGCCCATTCTGGGCCTAATTCACACATTCGCCATATTTCCCTCTTGCTTCATCCCTCGTTCAGAGTCAGTTACATTGCCGTTGTATCGCTTCGTTTTCGTGCAAGTAAAATTTTTCATCTGAACTGAACGAAACATCTAGAATACCAGCCCATTTACAGATCTGCCGTTTCACAGGCCGCTATACCTCTGGTGCAGGACCGGCCATGTGCCACAAGTCTCTCCGCTAGGGCGCAAATTCACCAGGGACGACTAAGACGTGACTGAATGAATGAAGCAATGGGGGTCATTCCATCTCGAATCAGCCAAAGGCCAGAGCATGACCCCCTCCGGTATTGACGAAAAATGTTTATGCGGTACCCCTCATGGCCCAAAATGAGAATGCAAATTTTGGCTTCGGGTATGGAGCCGTTTTGGCACAATAATTTGCTAAATTTTGTGAAATTAGAAAAAGGAGCACCTCTTCCTGCTCTTGTGGGCCGAAAACTTTTTGACCTAAGCGAACGCACCAAACACCATTGTTCTTTAAAAAAAAAAAAAATTTGACTTTCGAAGCTATTTCATATACATTTCCTCGAGGCGATAAAGAAAGGAAATAAAGCTGTCAAATTTGCCAATTTTTGGCACATTCAGAAATTTGCAAAACGTCATCATGTCCATCAAACCCGATCTCCATATATGTTTTTGGAATCAGCAGAGGAAGATTTAATTATCTGTGTCCCGTTTTTGTCCCAACAAATTCCATTTAAGGAGATGTGATGGGTCGAAATATGCAAAAATCACAAGTTTTGCACACAAAAAAACACACTTTTCAGTTGTATGGTGCCATTTTCTATGCAGCTCAACAAAACTTGAAAGTTTTGCAGAAAGTCTGCCATTTACTTGAGTAAAAGATGAGAGCAATAGCAAAGCCCATATATATATATTTGTAAATGCATACCACACATTTTTATTCAGACCCCACCTCACAATTTCTGCCGTTTTTTTTTAAGGCCAAAAGAAAAACATACAGTTTTCATTATCAGTTCTTCAATTTATTTATTTTTTAATAATTGCAATCGAAGGAAACTTTTTTGACTAGCATCAACATGGGAAAAAATAAAAGAAATTGTTTAATCCGTAAAAAAAAAAAGGATTAAACAATTTTGTTTCCTCACCGAACAAAACTTCCTCCGACCATCTCATTTTATGAAAGTCCCCCTCATTTATTCAATGCAAATTCAGCCCCATCAGTTCAATCTTAACGCTAAACGCGTCAGCACAACTCAGCCGACCCGTAATTGCACATGGGATCACGTCGAGCTCGGCCGTCCTTGTCCATTCCATAATTATCGGGAATTCATGATTGCTCTGGACTTCCGAGTGAATCAAAAGTGATTTAAACCGGAGTAAGCATGCCGAAAGATCGACGAGCGAGAAAATGCAATTGACTGCAACGGCAAAGCAGGTAATTGGATTTGGCTGCTCTAGCAGCCGAACCGCTGGATATCGAGTCCTGATTTTTCGTACACCTATTCCTTAACGTCCCGATTTTTTCATTTCCTCATTGGTATGAAGTTTCCTCCGTCGTACCGTTTTCCTTATTTCTGCGGAAAACTTATTTTTACAATCCACAGAAAGTATCCAATCGCTGACGTCATCGGTGCCGTCAGGTTTGACCCAACTCATAAAACACAAATATAGTTGATTGAAAAAAAAAATCCGATGCAGTTCAAGAAGAGAGGATTCCTCAAGAGTTTCAGGCGGAAAACTCGAAATACATAAAGAGCAGGCTTGCCATCTGGCAGCGACTCCAGAAATCAAAGTTTCCACAACAGAAGTGAGATGACGCTCGCCCCTCCCAACCGATCGTGGTTGGCATGGGCGGCGACACGGGGGAGACTTTCACCAGGCTGGTCTCCGCGTTCACCGCCGCCTTCGCTGCCTTGGTGGGGGCTCGCCCGTTTCTGCGGCATGGACGTCGTGCCGGCGTGGCCTCCTGGCGATCGGGTCGTCGCAGGCAAGGATCGGCTCCGCTAGGTCCAACAGTCGGCCTTCTGTCGACAAAACTCGATTCATCGGAGGATTGGATACGATTTGAAGAGGGCGGCAGCGAATTCTGACTCGTGGGGCGGCGAATCGATGTGGGTGGGTGCCGGTGGGTGCCGGTGGGCGCGGGTGGGCGGGAGCAATGGAGCGGAAAGGGACGTCAAGGCCCATCATATATCAGGGTTCACCTCTACTTTCTGTTGACTGAAGCTGACCATCGCTGCCATTATCGAGTGCCTTCGCGTGCCTTGAGCACGTGGCGCATGGATCCCCCGACGGAAAAAATGCCATTTGCACAGGGCATTGCTTGTGTTTTTTTTTTTTTTCCCGGTCGATGGGAATCCGATAATTATATGTCTCGATAATGCCGGCGTCTGACGGAAAAATGATGGCGGATCACGAGAAACTGCCGGGAGCTTGCGACTCGAATTTAGCTGCAGCTCGAAAATGACGGTTCTCGTGTTCTGAAAACATATCCCAAAGCCGTCAATTAAAAGGATCCGTTTCTCTCCCAAACCAACCGAATCCATCGAATCGAACGAGTGGTCGCATCAGGGCAGAAGTTGCAGACCGGCAAATAAAACAAATAAAAGTGGCCTTCGCCAGAAAGGATATTAAAAACGGCGGGGTGTTTCCATCCGACAGGGCATCATTAGGACTGATTAAAAATAAAAATAAAAACTTTATTCGAGAAGGGGAAACTCGGAAGGTATTCGAGAATTGCACGACGCCGACCAAGACTCACCGAACAAAATGATTAATTTCCTAGGTTACCTAGGAAAATCGCCCGATAGAGCAAAAAAGATTCGTGGAAAACCCGGGGCAAATGGAAACCGCCCAACTGCCTCCACGCCCGCGGGACGGCGAACGGACGAAGGGAGGAGGGCCGAGCCTCCGAGGAGAACCTGGACGGCGACGCGTCTCGTCTCGAGTTTTTCCCACAAAATTCGATTCTCGCGGCGGGACGTCGTGGTGGATGAGCGTTACGCGTGAGTGTTACGCTCACGGTGTCTGGGGATGGAAGGTCAGATTTTCGTTAAATCCCGCTCCACATCCCGTCGATCCAGCCAGCCCATCGGCATCTTGGTAAAAAAAAAAACCCCCCGACGAACCGCATCACCTCGACGTCTGTCAACCCCGAAGATGAAGACTTTCATTCGGAAAGCTCGAAATACCAAAGAGCAGGCCAAGCCACCCGACTCGGCCTCGCCGCGACCGAAGCGAGACGCCGCGGAGTCGCCCCTCCCCCCACAGGCGACCCCATCTCGGCGCTTCCGGGGGAAGCCGCCGGATCCTCACCGGGTGAGTTCGGCTTC